AATCGACTAATCTCGAGTCATACAAATAAGCACCGACACTTTAAAAACCCTAACGTGTCGTGTCCGACACTCCTACACTTTCCGACACTCCAACACACGTTATAGAAATTCAAAAAAAAGGTTCAAAAGTTGTGTTGCGTTGAGTTTTTAGTTCCAACTATTAGATTCGTTGGATTACGATTACCAATTTATTAAGTTTAATATAAATATTTGAAATATCTTATGTTTCTTTGCAAAATTGATGAATATTATAAGTTTAGTCTCATTTTTTTGTTAAATTATTGAATATTAAATATAATATACACAACATAAATTAAAAATATTATTCACTATCAAAGCGTGTCCTAACGTGTCGAAATATAACATTTTTTAGAATTAACGTGTCAGAGTGTCGTGTGGTATCGTGTCACGTGTTCCGTGTCAGTATCGGTGCTACATAGACAACATATACATATCATGCTATGTAAACAAGCCCATCCAAGACATTCCTCCAGAATACTCATGTAGCAATGCACAAATCCTACTGGCCAGAGAACCTACACTCTATGAATTATGCAAGGCTCTACCTTACCACATACCAAGTGTAGCACGCAAGCATACCAATAAATATATCGATGCATTATAACAAGAGTCCAATGCCATTACATACGCCTCATAAAATAACAATCCATCTGGATTTGGTGGAACAACAAAGGGATAAATTCCAAGGTCCGGAAGCTTACTTCTAGAAGCTTCCTACCAAAAGCTCTCCAAGCACACGGATTCCATAACAATACTTTCTAAAACCAACACCTACACAAAGTGCCATGCCACCAATAACAATCATGTGAATATCAACATACATTCACAAGTAATACAAGGTAATCCAATACACTTCAACAAGTGAAAGACTTACCTAACTAAGAATCACTCTAGGTTCGAGTCCACTTCCATTGCATCATCCCAAGCTTGATTTGTCAATGATGGCTCACTTGTCTCAATACTAGAAACACCATGAACATGACTATTACAAACCAAACAAGCTACATTTTCAGTAACTTAGGAATTTTCATCACTCTATCAAGTCATTTTCCAACATTTTTAGGAAGGTTGCTTAAATGGTTTTCTAAGTACATTTCTACCGATTAAACATCATTCTTAGCATATTTCACAACATACACTAAGCCCCATTCATGCCATAACATGTCCAATCTATCAACATAACCACAAAACCCTAACTTTGCATTTCAACTCAAAACACAAAGAGGTTAAGGATTCTTACCACAAATCAATCCACAAAAACTCAAGGAATGTACTCCAACTCCCCAAAAGACAATGCTAAGCTCCAAACTGCAAAGAGAGCTTCAATTTCGTGGCCCTCTCAAGACAAAATCTCCCAACACAAGCCTCAACAATGGTATCCAAAGCTATGGGGTTATGTTTTCCTAACCAAACTAAGCAACTTTGCCTTTGGTCCCACTTGAATCCATGAAGAAACCAAGAAGCTAGGTTTTGAGGTTCATAAATGCTCAATAATGGCTCATCCCTCGGGTTGCAGAGAATGGAAATGAGTTGGTGAGGATAAAGAATGATAAAAACATGTGTTTTCAAAGTCCCGAGCTGCTCGCTGGACTCCTCGCTTCAGCGAGCAACGCAAGCGAGCATATTGCACGCTCGTTGGACAGCTCGCTAAAGCGAGCCTTCCAGACTAGACAGGGCCTTTGCATCACACTGGCTCATTTCCACATCAAGGCCCATCAGCTCTCACTTAAGCCCATTTTGCTCTTTTGCTAGGTGTCATTCCTCATATGAATACACCCTTACATTGATTGAATTAAGTGTTACACTTATTTTATCTACAATGTGATAATTAATATTTAATATAACCTTTATATTAAGCCTCAAACTTAATTAATCTAATTATTTATTATTAAATAACTAATCCAATGCAATTAGGCATTTAACAAATTAGGGTTATTATACACCCCACTACCACCACTACCATCATATGTCTTATTTTAATACTTCATATATAAAATATGTTTATTAATTTTAATATGAGATATGATATTGTTACTATCAATTAGTGTTACTATCAATGTCACTACCAGTTTGTTTTATCGTTAGATCGATTATGTGGATCAAACAGTTATATTCATTTTCACCTTTGTATAATTACGATTCCCCATATTTAATGGTTTCACATTAAATATGAGGAATCATAACTATACAATGAAAATAAATGTAAATTATTACATATTGAGAAAATAAAGAAGGTTTTAGAACCGTTGGATCAATATAATTGATCTAATAGTGAAACAATCTAGAATTGACATTGGTAATAACTCTAATTGGTAGTAATAATATTCTATCTCTTTTGAAATACAAATAATTTTTTTATTTAAAATTATTTTTTATATATTTTATCTAACCATAAAATAAGTTTTTTTTTTGGTAAGTAACATAAAATAATTTTAGGTTTTTAAAAAAAGCCATAAAAAATTCTTTTTTAAAAGCCCATCCGGTCCATTTATTCACGATCGGATTATATTTATTTGATACAATGTTGTCAATATTTGAAAAAAGAATAAGATGGAGAAAACATAATGAATTCAAATTAGAAAATTAGATATATTATTAAATGATATTAATAAATATTCTTAATTTATGAATTCTCTATATTATCTATATCTTATGTTATAATTAGATATGTCATAAACTTTGGCTCGTAAACACAAAAGTACTATACGCGCTTTCTTAAAAAGATTATATTCGGGGGAATTATTGGAAGAATTCTTTACAGAGGAAGAAGAGATTCTTTCGTATTTCTCGAAAAAACGATTCGATTGATGGGATTTGGTATAATACTTAATTCACCACTTTGTGGGAGGATACTGAACTTTTTTTATTTGAAAAATAATGTTTCAGAGGGTATCTTCATATCATATATATATATATTATATTATTCATATCATATTATATATATATAATTATATCACTTTTTTCTCCTAGAGCACTCATCCATAAACCAGTTACTGGTACAAATAATATAAAGAAATGTAACCAACGTTTATTGGAAAAAGCAACCCAGGGGGGCAAATCAAATAGATATATACGTAGTATATATCTGTGTATATTGAATTACGACTACGGAAATAATAGAATGACTCCATGTGTTGATAGCTAACCTGGCCCAATTAGATATAAAAGTAAATAGGATTTTTGCAGCCTCATGTAATTTTTGAGTGAGGACTGATGAGTGCAAATTGAGTTTTACTTATTTCGTACATATTCGACAAAATCACTTTTAAATTATGGGATTGAAGAGCATATCTTATACTTAAACACAAAATGATAGACTCACAACTAAAAAAATAATAATAGCACAATTAATGTTATTAGAACCGGATCGGTCATTGACTCGGTCGAGGTACCGGGTCTCTGAGTCAATGGGTCACTGGTTGAACCGCATGAACAAGATATATATATATAAATTTATATTTTATACTTAATTATATAATAAATATTTTAAATGGTGCCATCTAAACAACAACCTGATGTAATTTAGTGGTATTTGTTATGTTGTATATCCTTAAAGCAAGGGGTTCGAACCACATTGCATGCAGTTTTTGAAATAATTCTCTTAACTTAATAGTTATATAATAAATATATTAAATGGTGTAATTTATTCAACCAATGATGGTGGCCTAGTGGTATGAAACGGCTCTCCTCACTCAAATGTGCTGGGTTCGAATCCCACTCGACCCAAAAAACTGGTTTGAAGAGAAAATCGGTACCGGTTGAACCCCAGTTTATAACCGGGTCACTGGGTCAATACCGGTCCGATTTTCGGGCCAACCGGTCGGGCTGGTCCAGTTTTAATAACACTGAGCATAATTATTATCCAAGTCAAATATCGGATCGGTCACATATCGAATTTCGTCAAAATTGACAGGTCAAGTATTTTTATAAAAAAATAAAATGAAAACAAAAATAAAAACCAAAGTTGCCTCGTCTTGTCTGAAAAAAGTGTGTAGTTTTGTTTTTTAGAACTATACTCTACTACAGTGACATTTAACTTCAGCTTCTAAGACTAAAGCAATTTGTAGAACAGTAAATTAAAAGAAGATGACATATTAATTTCTTACAAATCCAATTTTATGGAAAGAGTTATTGGTAGATGCCTTATAATTATTAAACATGATTAGTATAGTATACTTAGTAAAGGAATTATATATGATTACGTGATAATTGATTTTTTTTTCTTTGTTTATTTTCTTTACAATATATTGTATGTGATTATCATATATGATTTTCTATCCTACAAAAATTATATATGCTTTGCAGCTCATCGCAACAATTTTTTACATGTATTTAAATATTTTATGAATTTCTATGTATAAAATATAAATTTTTATATACTAACTCAGATTATGTGATATTTTTATGTACTAACTTGGATTATGCAGTGCAATCGATGGCCTGCCATTAAACCATTATTAAAATCTTCTAAAAAATAATAATTTCTTAAATAAATATATTTCCAAATATACGGTTAGATACTGATTCCGCACAAATCCATGTGAAAGTAATAAATTTGAGAGAGTAAAGCAATAAAGATATTAATTACTCGGCAAAAAAGGAAAGAATATACGAACTCGAGGATACATGATATAACATAATAGAATACTACGAGAGACTGAGACACGACAACAGCGACAGCGATGAAGCGGAGAGAAGTTGAACGGACACACGTTGTGTTTGTGTGTGTCTTTATGTACTAAATAAATTAATATTAACAACACCGGAATCAACGCCCTCCAATTGGCATCACAAATCTGAGCCACACCACCGATCCAGCGACACTTCGACAACACCAACGTTGACATTGTTGATGCCCCATCGCAATTACTCTCCCTTGAAAATCCACGCTTTGTCTCTGTCATCACTGCATTCTCACTCTCAACACCAATCTTTAACTACCACCATTCTTCATTCTACATTGTTGTTTCCTTCCGATTCTTTTTATTTTATTTTATTTTTTATTTATTGATCTCGATTTTCCAATTTTTGCTGGGGCCACTTTAGATCCCTGCTTTGGATCACAGGTATTCACATTTTCTCTTTACTTCATTGTGATACGGATTCATTCGATTATTTTTATGGGTAAATTAAAAGATCTGCATCCTTACTATCATTTTTTTCTTGTCATGAGAGAGAGAGAGAGTGAAAGAAACACACAAATCAGCTATGCAATGTGTTAACTTTAGCCCTGTTGTTTTCATGGATCTTGCTGTTTTGTGTTTAGCACTGATTTTTGACAATTTACTTTTATTAGGCTTTATTATTATTTTTTCTTTAAAAAAAAAAATGAAGTTAGGGTAGGAGGTAGTGGATAAGATCTGAATAATTGTTAATTTATTGTTGATAATGAAAGATTGAATGATGTTGGTTAGTAATGTCTCATGTTTTGCGACTTCCAAACATGTTCCTGAAGCTTTTATGAACGAGTGTATTTTCATCTTTTTTTGGTTGTTGTTTGTGGTTTCAGTACTTATTGTGACTTTGTTTTTCTTTCTTTCATATGGAAAAATGACAGTGAGGCAGCGCTTAGTATAAATGGATTTTGATAGATGATAAATGCATGGGGAAGCTGCTGAGGTATCTTGAACTTAAATGAAGAAAGAACTTGCATGGCCGCAATACATAAGAAACCTTCTGATCATGGTTGGATCAAGAAACCGGTCACATTATAAGAGGCCTACTTGGATCATAGTTTTAGTTTCTGTGGTGTGCATTTTCCTGATTGCTGCCTATATATATCCGCCACGGAATATATATCCGCCACAAAGCCCCTCAACATGCTCTTTCTTTTCCTCTCAAGGTTGTGGTGGTACTTATGATCCCCCACCAGAAGTTCATTCCCGGCAATTAACTGATGCAGAGATTCAATCTCGGATTGTTATTAACGAAATTCTCCAGTTTTATCCTATTCAAACCAAGATCCCTAAAGTTGCTTTTTTGTTTTTGACTCCGGGTTCATTACCTTTTGAGAAGCTCTGGCACATGTTCTTTCAGGTATGGCATTCCAATCCTATTCCACAGACAATAAACTTTACTTTTTTGTCTTATTTCAAAAGTATGGATATGAATAAGAAGACAATAATATTTTACTGATAAGAGGAGGTATTAGTGGGCAAGACTGATTTCCCTGATGTAAACTAGAAGCTTTATGATCCCTGTTGTGCTGGTTGGTTGATGTTGAGCAGCTAATTTGCTGGCAATTTGTGTTTAAGTTATGGAAATGATGTTGTATTTGCTCAGTTTTATATAATAGTTTTAAAACTATAGCGCTTATATTGGGTACATACTTTTTCATCAAGGAAGGTTGGTGACCTAAGTTTACACTCCAACCTCAACTGAATTGCTGCCATACAGTGTTTATTTTCCTGAAGCATTGTGGGGTATCTGATTTTAAGAGTGCCAGAAGGATGCAAAGATATATGGAATGATATGTTACGATTGCATTTGATGAAAATAGAAGTGAAAATTTAACATAGGTGATGAATATAGTACTGGTTTAGTTGCATTTTATAATCATGACAGGTCGAGTTCAAGTGTAATTTTTAAGAAATGCTTGTGGTGCTAATGATTTAAAGGGTTATTAGAATTAAGGTGATGTGTCCACCTATGTGGAAAACTAGCTAAGGGAATGTAAAGTAATCATTTTTTAAGCAAATGTGCAGGTATTTGTTCTCAAGAAGAATTATTAACTAGAACAACTTTTTAAGGATGTCACCTGAATTTGAGTAAGCCAAAAGTGTTGCAATTTATAAAACTTTTGTTTTGTATCACCTCGTCTTTCATCTTATCTGCCTCCTATATTACAAGGATGACAACAATACAAAGCAAGTTCATAGGGACATAACATCAAAACATCAAACAATGAAATTTGTCTCGAAAAATACTATCTTGTAAGTGGACGTCATCATGGCAAAGTATTTATGGAACTTATATATGCAATCACCACTTGTTAAGATGTATTTATTTTGAGTGGATGTTAATATATTTCTGTAACATAATTTTCTCTTCTTAATAAAATATCAATGCTTGTCATGCTGGATATAATTACCAAGTGCAATTCCTTTTCCTTTGAATGTAATAGAGATATGTTACTTCCTATTTGTCTGAACTGTAATTATAACAAAATGCAGGGCCATGAGGGAAAATTCTCTATTTATGTACATGCATCGAAGGAAAAACCAGTACATGTAAGCCACTATTTTGAGGGCAGAGACATACGCAGTGAACCGGTATGGGGTATAGCACATGATTTGAATATATAAATTACATGTTCTTTATATGACAGTTTCGAGTACCAAGTGAGTTAAGGATGACTAAAAAAAATGTGGTCAATTGATACGATTTGATGTATTCTTTTAATAATAAAGTTTCACAGTTGATTGAAATTTGAGGATATTATCACATAGATTTCTTGTCATTTTGCTACCATGTGATTTTATGTGATCAAATTTTCTGTCAGAGCACTTTGATAGGTTAACAGTGTGTAGCTCAGAATTTTTTGAGGTTGTGTATTGAGATTCAAATTTCACGAACTTATTGCTACTGAAGCAATTTAAAGGAGGATAACAAGTGCACATTATAATAAAGCAAAAGGGGGAAATATATTTGTGACACACTGATAGATACCAAATATATTTGTGACACACTGATAGATACCAAATATAAAGGTGTACGACGTACGTTAGGAAGAATTTACATGAGAAGCAGGGAATCAGCTCAAGTAAGCATGATTAGCATGGGGAGTAACTAACATCCTATGTGGCCCGGTTCTCCCCCTCCCAATTCCTTTACTTGCTAATTTCGCCCTACTCTTCTTTCCTCCCTTCCCACATATACCATGCTGCTGCACTGTTTTCTCTCTAATTCCTTCATAATTGTAGCCAAACTCCCAAAAGTCTGATGAATTGGAATCCACTCGGTAAATTTCCTTGTATTAATAAGAAAACATTTGGATGCTAAAATCATAATATGGTCTATCATTTATTGAATTTCATCCAAACTGAATATCTAAACATAAGAAATGTATTAAATATGAGAGTGTAACTCAATACATTCATTCCCTACTGTAATAATACCCAAGGTTAACACTCACACTTTGGAAAATGAATGGTCAGGTAAGACTTCTAATACAAATAATAGCATCTGAGCTATCATAGTGTTGTGTGTGTTTTGTGCACGTGTACATTGTTACAAGTAATAAAGATTAGTAAGGAGAGTCTTGATCCTACATGGATTGAAATCTGTAAAGTACTAACACTCAAGCAAGCAAGGCTGTAGGGTTTTTGTTCCCCTTCTCTAGTCCAAATTGATTCAATTAAACTTATAGACTAGTCGTTCCTTTCAATTACCTATCAAGGATTCTCTTATTTAGTTTCCATTTTACATGAAGTTTTATCATCTGTTTCTTGGTACCAACTGGTTTTCAATTTCTTTCAGGTAGAATGGGGAAAAGTTTCTATGGTTGAGGCAGAAAGAAGACTTTTGGCAAATGCACTTTTAGACCATGATAACCAACATTTTGTCTTGCTGTCTGAAAGGTATTTTTGTTATCCGGTTATTCTTTTTGCTGTTAAGTCATGGTTGCTTTGTGGGATTTAATCTAGTCAATTATATTTCATTTCTGTTTCAGTTGTATACCTGTGCGCCACTTTAATTTTGTGTACAACTACTTGTTATTAACAAATGTCAGCTTTATTGACTGGTAAGAAATAAAAGAACCTTCTACAAATTAGTTGATGAAATTCCAGAAATTTTTGCTTTCATCGAAGAGTTTTTGCTACAAATTTGTTGGACAACAATTTGGACTAATCTGTCTCCGTTTTTCCTCCTCTCCTTCATATATATAAAAAAAGCTATGTGGATCAAGGCCCTCATGGAAATGGCAGGTATAGTGAACATATGTTGCCTGAAGTAGAAAAGAAGGATTTCCGAAAGGGTTCGCAGGTATATTTTCTGTGGATGTTTCTATCTACCTATACTAGAAAAATTTGAGATCCACTCAATTGCAGTGTTTCATCAAGGTCACTCTTCACTTCTCCTATCCCTTTCACTTAGCATATGGCTGATTTGGTTTAAGATAAGTTGTCCTTAATGCCTACTTCTGTGACTTCTTTCTCCCCTCAGTGTTCGCTGTATAACCTGCTTTGCAATCATGTCTCCAGATTATAGAAGCAATGGAGACATCATCTATTTCATTTATAAACACAGTCTTTTCCTCTTTATATCATGAAAAATGCCCCTGGGGAATCCATTTACACCCCATTTTGTTTTCCTTTATTTTATCAGTCAATCTTTCATTGCATGAAAATCACTGTAAAAACAGGAAAAACACTAGCTCATTTCTTTCACCATTTGGTAAATTCTTTTTGTGATATAGTAATGATTTAATGACTAACAGTTGTTGTTGGACAACATAATTGTCTTGCAGTCATTTTAAGATGTCTAATTTCATCCTTCGTTTTTGAGACTTCTACTGCAGAAGTATTTTTTTTCATGGTTGATTTCCAGAGTGTACTTTCTTTTGGTCATTCATCTCCCATCTAAAATGCAGAACCATTCATTACAGTCAAGATTTGGATGAAAAATGGCTTTTATGTTACAATTGTTGAAATGTAGGAAACCAATGGAAATTTTCTGACATGCAACTGATTTGGATCTTGTTTCCAATGCAGTGGTTCTCAATGAAACGGCAGCATGCTCTAATAATCATGGCAGACGGTCTCTATTTTACAAAATTCAGGCATCATTGCAGGGTATTATGTTACTAAGAATCACTTGTGCTTTTTGCATTTGCTAATTGGATGGAGTGTTTGATCCGTTCTGTATTATTCCTATCACCTTTTTAAGATTGTCAGTGTCGGTAATATTTTATAGTGGGATATAACAAGTTTGTAACCAGCCTACACGAGTAAGTTTGCTGGAAGATTATAAAGAATAAATTTCAAAAAGATTTTCTGGTCTTAATTCTTAGTAGCATGGAAATATCTAACATCAAGCAATAGCATAGACGACAAGTTCTTTGTTCTTCTGCTTTTGTTTTGTCTTTTGCTTAAATTTGATTATTTATCCTCATATATGCAGTTCTCTTTCATCTTTCGCTATTAAGAAATGCATATATTGAAAATATGACAGTAATCATCTTTTATTCAGATACATTGTCAGTAGTGTACTTGCTGCAGCATGCATGAGTTTTTATGTATTCTAGAAGTAAATGAGCCTCTCCTGATAATATGATTGACAATTGATTTTATTTTTTATTTTGCTGACCAAGCCACTATAGTCACTCAATAATTGTTTCTTTCTTTCATTCTTTACTTCTCTGTTTCCTGTTAATGCTATTGTTGAAAGACTGAAAAAATAAAACACATACAGTGCACGAACAGAGCACAATAATTTTGGAGGTTCAGTCAATGAGACCGACATCCTCACTCTAAAAATCTCCCCCTTGTCTTTATTCTAAGGAGGGTTCCATTTACTTTTAAATAGAATTTGATACAAAGAGTTTAATAGCAAATACAATTCTAAATTGTGATAAGGGTAATCCTTATCTTTCTCACTACTAACTAAATTTGACTTAGGATAAGATATCATATCTCTATCAACTAACTTATCATATTTTTCAATATTATCTTCTACTCTTCCAACAGCTAACTTTAGAAATTGTTGGGAAGAAAATAATCTGTAAAGATAGCTTCACTGACAAAATTTTACTGTTCTTTTTTTAAACTTCACAGCCAAATATGGAGGGAGGACGCAACTGCTATGGTGATGAGCATTACTTGCCCACCTTTTTTAATGTCAGTGCACCAATCTGTTCTCTTTTAAATTACAATAGTAGGCATCTTCTCTGTCTCCCTTCTAACTCATTTGGTGTACATTTAGCTGCTTGATCCAAGTGGAATTGCATATTGGTCGGTAACATATGTTGATTGGTCTGAAAGAAAATGGCATCCAAGGTCATTCAGGGCTCGGGATATTACTCATCAACTCATGAGAAAAATAGCAGTATGTGACAAATTTTACTCTAGCTCCCTTACAGATGTTTCTGTGTACTTCATGTTGAATCATCAGAGGATTATTACTATTATTTTTTTTTTTAATTTTTTCTTGTTACCCATGAGTGGTGTGGTTTTCGATGAATTATACACTTTACCAATAGCCGTTTGCTCCTTATGAAGTTTTAAGTTCTTTTTGCATATCAAGCCATCCATACCAGCTATTGCTGACCATTTAGAAGGACTATGCATTCCTAATAAGTATTTTTGCCTCTTTTCTTTTCTATGTAATTTTACATGTAACATAGCAATTTGTGTTTAAGTTCCCCATGAACCTTAATAACTTTGAACAGTTATGGAGAATGGAAATAAAGGAAAATGACAATGGAAATTTTATTAAGTAAATTCCTTGTTCCTCATGATCCTTGTCTATTTTTCTTCTCTATATTTTTTGTTTGCAAACCTAGCTACTTCCTTTCCTTGTTTCTTCTCAAGGTTCTAATACAGCATTTATCATCAATTCTACTTAATGACATGATCTCATTTACTGCAGTACATTGATGAAAGTCCACATTTTACAAGTGAGACAAAGGTATGAATCTCATTCCTCTGATTTATGTTCAAAGACACTCCATATTGTGATATTGCTTCTGTTCTATTGAAGGAATGCATTACTATTTGATTTTCATTTTCATATGCCTTGCAGAACTCAGTGACGGTTACACCTTGCATATTGAATGGTTCAAAACGATCTTGTTATCTATTTGCCCGGAAGTTTTTCCCAGAAACTCAGGATAAATTGATGCAACTTTTCTCTAATTCTACAATTTTCTGAAGTATTTATGTTTCGTTATCATTCTTTGGTGCATCGACACCATGTGATCCCCAGCCTCACTGTCTTGCACATATTGTTTTGAGAATTGTCCTAAGACAAGTTGATAAATTTCTCACGAAGACAAAAGAAGCTGATTCAGTCAAAAGTCGAAATTTGCTTGTCTGGGGCTTGACACAACTGCTGAGGTTGTCTTGTTGGATAATTTGATGTTCCTATTTTATTTTATTTTTAAATATTTGGAACATCATAGATTCTCCTGAACGATGAAAAATTTTGGTATCCTTGATAGAGACTAGAGAGGGAGGGAAAAGGTTTGGCATTGATTTTGAGTATTGAAGCTAACCTGGCACTTGTGACTGTTATTGAATTGAAATTTTTCTGCAGTCATGTATTAATTATTACTCGGTGAATAGTTTCAGTAGATATGCAGAGAATTTTTCTTAGAGTTTGTCTCGGTATTTTGTTATATAAATTCACAAATCAGTGGTTTTATACATGGCTTTAATGTTTCTCCGATAAATGAAGATAAGTTATTTTCAATAAATCTAAAATGATGTCGTTTTAGGATTGAAAGATTAAAAAATTATAATGATAAATATTAATATAAATTTGAAATAAATTACAATTACAAAAATATCTTTTTCTTAATCTCAAAATGATATCGTTTTGGGTTCATTAAATAACTTATTTTCATAAACCAGAAAAATATTAATCTCTTTACATTTATATATTTATTATTCTTATAGCAGAATAAGAATATTTTGTTCCATATTTATACATTTATGGAAAATTGAAAAGTTATGTTACAGGAATATAATTTTTTTTCTTACAGATAGATAACAACGCCAGCCCTTTTCTTTTCTTTTTTCAAAAAATATTTACTGTGAACCCCGCAGACATTGTGTCTGCAGAAAATTGGAGGTTTTGTTCAGTAACATTACAGACATAAACCCCTACATTTATATGTAAAAGTTACTCGAAATTTTAATAAGAGTAAATACCCTTTTTAGTCCCTGGAAATTTTTGCGAAGCACAATTTAGTCCCTCGGTTTAAAAATGTCACATTTCAGTGTCTGATTTTTGAAAAAAAGGGACACATTTATCTTTCTGTTAAATCCAATGTGACGGCCCACTTGACGAACGCCAGCTGGAACGTTAAGTGGCTGAGTCACTAACGTGCTGGCCACGTGGAGAGAAAGGAACGACGTCGTATTACATTGGAAGGTTGTATCAGGTGTGTAGAAAGGGAACGACGTCGTTTGAGGAATGCCATGTGAGTTGAACCTTTGTTGTTGACTCAGTTGACACAGTCACACAAGTAAGTCGTCCATACCCGCCATTTCCTCCCCCATTTCCTCAGATCGTGAGCTTCATTTGCGGTGAAGGTTGGTGACCCAGGGTGCTTTGTTGATGTACGTGGCTTCTGAAGTTGCAAGCTTTTGAAAGTAGTGTGGTTTAGGGTGAAGATCCTTAAATCGGTTGTGTCTCTTGTTACATTCGTGCAAGGTACGTGAGATTCTTTCATTTCTTTATTATCTGTGGTCCCTCTTTCCTATTTAAAATGGTGTTTAAAAATGTCATTTGTCCGTCAAGTGGTCCCCCATGTGCGATTAAGGGCAAGACATTGTTAGGGTTTTTTTTGTGTGGTCCCCTTTGGTAGAATATTTTTGGAACCATTAATTGCATGTGGTCCCCCTGTTGTTATTTTAAGTTGCTATGTGTAGTGATTACAAAAAAAGCCCCAATTTGTTAGCAATGCAACCATTTAAAATAATCGAGTGTGTTACTTTTATGACAGTGTCTAATATTGATAAAAATTGATTAGTTGTATGATATTGTAAATTAATATGATGGTAGTGTAAAAAATGATTATGTTTTGTTTCATATGCAGATGGATGAGTATATAGTCATGAGATATCATCATGGGGGTGTGTTGGTTAGGAATGATGAAAGGAAGCTGAATTATGTGAATGGGAGAGTGGATGATTTACCAGAAATGGATGCAGACTATGTAAACCTTCGTGCCCTTGAAGCTCTGTTCAAGGGGTATGGTTACCACAAATGTAGGCGGATGTGGTGGTTGAAGCCTGGTGAGAGTGATTTAGAGGTTGGGTTGCATCTTCTTGAAAAGGATTCTGATGTTTTGCAAATGGTCAAGGCTGCCTTAAGTAATGGGAACAAAATAGACATATATTTTGATGGTTGCATTGCAATTCCTGAGATTTTGGGTGGGCCTGCAGATCCAACTCCTCCTGAAAGTGCTGATGAGGAGGGGATATTAGGTGATTCAGTCGACAGTTTGTCTGACTCCCATATGACTCATGATGATGAATATGAAGAGGGGGGCAATGGACTGTCAAGTGATTCATATGACAGTGTAGAAGACGAGCCTTATAAGCCTCCGCCACCGGGTGTTGAAGACGAAACAGATGATGAACCAATTATTGCATTGAAAAAGAAGGTGAAATGAAAGAAGAAAAAAAAAGACAGTTAACAAGAGTGACAGGGAAGAAAAGGATTCAGAGGATGAGCAGAATATGTCATTTGAAGATCAGGGCTGTGGTTACAATTCTGAAGAATTGAAGACTCCACCTTCAAGTGGGGATGAGGAGGTTGAGAGGGAAGTGTTTCCCAAGTTTAATGAGGAGCAACCCTTTGGTCTAGTACAACTCGAGCTTGGAATGGAGTTTGCCAGTTTGGAGCACTTTAAACAGGGTGTCAAAGACTACAATATAAGTCTTGGGAGGCAGTTTGTATGACTTAAGAATGACAAGGTAAGATCAAGAGCCAAGTGCTCAAATGCTGACTGTGAGTGGATGATATATTGTTCTTGGAGCAACAAATTCAATTGTTTCCAAGTCAAGACATTCAATGACAACCACACCTGCTGCAGAATTTTCAAAAATAAAAGGGCCACCAGGGATTGGGTTGCTGCAAAGTTGGAGAAAATACTGGTCACACAGCCCAATATGACAAGAGCTGAGGCTTATGAGCATTTAAAGGAAGAGTACAAGGTCCATGTTCATCTGAAGAAATTAGGGAAGGCACTACACAAAGCCAAGAAAAACATAGAAGGAAGTGAGAAGGAACCAGTATGGCAAGCTAAGGGACTACCTAGCTGAGGTTTTGAGGAGCAACCCTGGCTCCACTTGCCAGATGCAAGTAATTCCACAACCAGTCCCTAACAGCTCACCAATTTTTAACAAACTGTATGTCTGCCTTGATGCCTGCAAGAAAGGATTCAAAGATGGTTGTAGACCATTGATTGGACTGGATGGATGTTTCTTGAAAGGTTACTATGGGGGACAGCTATTGAGTGCAGTGGAAGAGGATGCAAACAAGAGCTTTTATGTCATTGCTTTTGCAGTTGTTGACAGTGAGACCAAAGAAAATTGGAAGTGATTTCTGACCTTGCTACAAGAAGACATTGGCAGTTGTGTAGTGCATGGATGGAACTTCATAAGTGATCAGCAAAAGGTATGTTTTTTTCAAAGGTATTTTCCTTTTTTAAAAGCTGTACATTACTAGCCATGTGTGATCACTTTTGTTGTTGCTTGATATATGAATGCAAGGTTTGATACCAGCATTACAGGAGGTCATGCCTGGTGCCCATCATAGGTTCTGTGTGCAACACGTGTGGAAGAATTTTATTAAGCAATGGAAGGACAAAGCCATTAGGGGAATAGTATGGGAGGATGCACGATGCACAACTGTGCCCCAATTCCAAAGAACAATGGATAAATTGAAGGAGTTGAATGAAGATGCCTGGGCATACCTCAACAAGATTCTCCCCTCATGCTGGGTTAAGGCCTATTGGCCGTCCCAAAAAGCATAGGAAGAAGGATGAAACTGAGGAGCAAGTCAGCAAAACAAAAAAATTAAAGAGGGTATGTGCCGCAGTTTGTGTTAAATGTGGGCAATCTGGTCATTATACCAAGATCTGTAAGGGACAAGCTACAAGCAAGAGAGGGAGGAGAGCAGCAGCACCTTCACATGCAGTTAATGTCAACATAGCAGCTCCACATGAAGAGGAGATCCCTCTGAGTCAAGGAGGACCTTCAAGGCAGTCCCAGGCACCTGAGGAAGCCATTAGGGGCAACAACCCACCACCTACAGCCCTACCACCAGCAGAACAATTGTCAACTGAAACTGTCAATGCAACAAGCAGTGGCACAAAGAGCAGGCTTATGGAATTCATGGCCACACCTGGGTTTAGGCCACCAAGACCAGCTTGAATGATTGTTGGATACAGTTTTTTTGTATAGGGGTTCACTTTTTTGTTGTATAGGCAACAATGTTCATGACTGTATTTTTTGGTACCCCCATTTTTTTGTATTTAAGACATTTAACTAAAGTATATGCTTTTTTTTGAATCACAATATGTCTCTGTCTGGGAGTATTTTGAAGCAAAAAAAACAACAACAGGGGAATAGTTTGAATGATGGTTTAGAATGGTTTATGTGGACCATGAGTTCTGGCAGGCCTTTAATTATGATGGAAGAGTTTTGAATTGTAACTGACTACAAGTTCTTTTTTTATATCAGTTTTTTCCCTTTGCTGCAATCTGTATCTGTATGGTGATTTTTGAATTTGTGTATGAGTCTTTTTGATTCTGGCTACAATGCAGGTGGTCCATGTTTGGGTTTTGGTCGTTGCTGTTTGGACACATTTCAATGCAATATGTTCATGTCCAATTTTTGCTGCATTATGTCTCTATACTGTCTGATATCTTTATTGACTACAAGTTTCTTTTGCTGCATTTTTTACTACAAGTTCCTTTGCTGAATTCAATTCTGTACTGTCATTTACTGCAATCTGGCTTATTCTGCAATCCAATGTGTCATGGATTAAAATGTAGGTTTTAAGATGCAGCTTTTAAGTTGCAGCTTGTGGTCAATTTAGTCTAAACAGGTCATGTCCAAATTTTAACTGTCAGGGACCAAAACGTGCCCCAATAGCATTTTTCAATGACCTATTTGGCCCTCGATACATAATTCCAGGGACTAAGTTGGGGTCTAGTTTAAATCATTAGGTTCCAATATCCAGTTCTCAAATTCCCATTTGCAGCAACAAATTTGACATTTACTGTATTGAATCATGAAGTTAGCATTATACACATAAACACATTTTATAGCCCAAATAACAGAACTACATTGCATCTTCTCAACTTTATTCATCGCAGTTGTCAACAAGTCATTCAATTTCATTGAAGAAAAACTACATTTCGTACATAACATTTCATTGTTACAACACTTGCAATCATCACAGCATTCTTTCCTGCACATTCATACTCAGTTCTTGCTCACCAACATCTTGCACCTTCGACCTCCATTCCGTCAGGTTGTTCTACACCCAAAAGACGTAGTCCCACTTCATCCCCCCAAGCCAGATGACATACTCATCTTCTTCTACGCACCAGAAAATAGCCAGTAAACACCTTCTACTTGACACTATTTTCAATCTTCAACAAATTATGTTTTGGGGTTTTTTTTATTCTTAGGCTGATTTATGGTTTCTAATTTGACAGGGACTATATTGGGTCACTCACCCTTTCATGCAACGGTCACATGTCCAAACATCCAACTAGACACAATGGACCTATCTAAACGACGTCGTTTTCTCTCCACGTGGCCAGGACATTAGTGACTCAGCCACTTAACGTTCCAGCTGGCGTCCGTCAAGTGGGCCGTCACATTGGATTTAACAAAAGGATAAACGTGTCCCTTTTTTTCAAAAATCAGACACTGAAATGTGACTTTTTTAAACCGAGGGACTAAATTGTGCTTCGCAAAAAATTCTAGGGACGAAAAATGATATTTACTCTTTTAATAAATTATAACACAACCTTAGATATATGTGTGTTACATTTCAAAAGACCATTCAACACACAATACAAGGCATGAATTCAATTTCAAGTATGCAGTCGCAAATTCTAACAGTAAAACGTGATAGAGAAATCAATCGCAAGTTTGTGCTCAACTTAATGCACTAGCAATATTTGTAATGTTAATGGAGGAATAGATATTATCTCGATTATTTTTAACGCGTGGATTTGACTTTTTTCAAACACTTATGGGGCGTTTGATTTAGGAATTTTTTTTACTTGAGAATCACGATTATCAAGAATATGTTAGAAAAATTATTTTTTGAAAATATTATCAAAAACCTATTTAATAAACCAAAATATTTTCGAAAATATTAAGTGAGTTTTCTTGACACTACCTTAGCTGATTGTAAAATATTGTTGAGAATATTAACCGAATTTACAAAAATAACCTAAAGCTTCTTCAAAGCCTCTCTCCCAAATCTCACACTATCTGAGTGGAGGTTTTCACAATAGTGTATCCTTGAAGCTTTCATTTTATGATTTTCCCTTTCACGCTCTCATTGTTTACCTACAGGGATATTTTTGTCTCAAAAAGTATTCCATATTTTTCCATTGGATGGAATTTCCAAAATACCGTCTCTGGGATGGGATTTGAGGTTGGAAATTTTCTTCAAAAATTAAAATATCGGGAATGTAATTTTTCAATGAGGGGATGTTTGGTAAGTGTAAGTGGGTATCAAGTATTATCATGTTTGGTATAAGATTTTCAGAAAATTTCCTAATAAAATAAGATGCATAGGAAAAGTTAGTTGTGTGAAAAATTTGATGAAAATCACTATTTCAAAATACCACTTTGCATTTGGTATTTTGGGATGAATGAGGAAGTGAAAAGTTGAACTCCAATCTCTCGACAAAAATGACCCTCCATGGCGGCACCAAATTTGACAAAAAAAAAGTATAAGGGTTATTTTGGTAATTGTAACTCATTTTCGCATCAATATTTTAACTCAAACCAAACATAGATTTTATAATATTTTCCAAATTTTTCCGGTAAATTTTTTTCCAACCAAATAACTTTTTTTATATTTTCTTACCAAACTCACTTTTCAACTATTTTTCTAATAATTACATTTTCCTAGTATTAAAAAATTTCTCCTCAACCAAACGCCCGTTTGATACCAGAATTTTTTTTAAAAGACCGGGAAAGCTCACTTGAGATTTATGAAAAATGCAAATTATCTCAACATTATGATACATTTCAGTCAATGGACACTAAGTTAAAATCTTATCCGAACCAAACTCACCATCTCCAAATCATGGTCCCTTGGATCCGGTATATGACCCTTCCGATTTTATTTTTTTATTATATTTTATTTTTTAATATATCAACCCTAAAATTACCTTTTGAGGCAGTATTTATGACGTTTGCATTTGTCATTTAACATGACATAATAAACTTTCTTATACACACAACATTTTGTGAGCCCACACTTTTTGAAGAAAAAAGAAAAAAGAAAAATTATGGCATGCAAAATGAATTGCTATAATATTACACAATCATTTTTCCTACAACATAATTCTTATAAACCCTGTATTTATAAGCTTCTATTCTTTGAACCTGTATGAAATTAATCCTGAGTCACAATTAAAATTCATCACCTTTTCAAAAATATATTTGCTCGGAATCAAACACAAGTTCTTTTTAAGTACAGTTAATTGTTCCTCTCTAAAAATATATTTGGTAAAAATTAAATACAGATTCTCTCTTCATCTGCTCGTTGTCAATAACTACTTTAAGTGGTTTCAAGGTCATTGATTTTCGTAAAAACCAGCAGAGTCATTAATGGGAATAGAATTATTTAATAGATTAAAAAATTAAAAAAAGTAAATTATTTGATTGGTCAAAGTAGGAGGATGAAAATTTTGGAGGGAAATTTAGCAAAGATATATTACTTGTATTTTTAGTTTATTGGGAAAAATGTTTGTAAAAAGACATAGAATTCTATCATTTTAAATGAAAAAAAATATAAATTAATATTTTTATTTAAATTTTATTTTTTTAAAAAAAATATTCACTTTCTCTTTCATGATTTTTATTATTTATATTTTTCTCTATCTTAAAATAATATAATTCTATTTCTTTTAAAGAGAAATACCAAACCCTAGTTTATTACTCTGCTAGTTTATTTAATGGAATATAATAGTTTGCAAAAATCAAGAATTTAAAATCTGTTGTATGTATTTAGATAAGCTTTTATATTATTTCTCAGACACATAACAGGAATCGATTTTGCCATCGTGGTCTGAAAATAACGTTCGATTCGAATACTCTGCACCGCAGAAACCTTTTCCAGACTCACCCATCAGGGCCGTCCATCCTTCTCACAACCGATCTCGACCGTTGGTTCAAACCCCCATGCGCGGGAAAACTGGAAACAAAAAGACGCATAAATATGAATGTCCCACTTGGCCAAAAAAATGAATAGATAGATAGATTGATAGTCACAGTCATAGAAGATAAAACCCTTCCCTCTTTCTCGCTTTTTAGGGTTTCTTAACATGCCACCCGCGAAACGCAAGGCGGAGGAGGCCACGGCAGCGCCGGGGAGGGTCACTCGGTCGACGACGAAGCGCTCCGCCGCGAGCTCAGGGTCTCAGCCTGTTGCGGAGTTGCCGGAAGAGAAGAAGAAGACGAAGAAGGCGAAGGGTAAGCAGGTAAAGTGGAAAGAAGAAGAAGAAGAAGAAGGTGCTCCGGCTGAGAGTGATAAAGTGGACGGTGATTCCTCTGAGAACGTTCTAGATGCTTCTAACAAGACTATCGTCGTTGAGCATTGGTTTGTGACTCGTTTCCTTTTTTGCCCTTTTCTTAACCTTGGTGTTATGAAGTTTCCCTTGTTACGCGCAGACACACCATACCTTGCATTTGTTAGATGCTGATAGTTATTAATCGAACATGTGAGTCACATGGTTGTGTGCAAGGCTTTCATTTTTAGTTAAGCTTTAACAAACAGGAACTTAGAAAATTAGTGATTTTTTCAATGTACTTTATTTGATTATTCGATTGCTGTGTCTTCATTCTTCTGAAACAAAGATTTCACAGTCACTCATTTTATGCATCTTATTTAACTATTCTATTGTTCTTTTTCAGTTTTTGGAACAGAGTCACTTGTTACCTTACTTGGTTATATCTTGTCTCTATTTTCGTTCTTTGGAAACATAGGCTTCACATATTTATTTTATGCAACTCGACAATGACTTGTGTCTTATAATTTTGTAGTTCGAGTTATGGTTAAGCTGTGTTGTCAATTCCTAGTTTGAAATTATCACATTGAGCATTGTACATCATTTATGTGATATATTTCAAGCTATTTTTCATTATCTTGCATAACTGTTGTAAGGGATAGTTGGTCATCTAGTTTTTAAAGTTTGGAATTAACTCCTAAAGCTGTACCCTGTATAGGCGTGTATATTGAGAGGTTCTTGTTTGGTACTAACTCTAGATACGCCCAAAAAAAGAGAATCAGACGCTTTAGTTGCTACTTTTGATTGGAGAGGAATCCAAAAATTTTCAAATTTCATTTTATGTAGTATCCTTGATCACTCAAAAGTTGGTAAATAAACATTTTGTTATTGGTTCTTTGACCATTTGCTAAACCTAATTGCCCGCCCTTTATATGTGTTCCGGCCGGCCAATATGGCCATCCCAATAACAGAGGGCCCATATTACCTCTGCTTTATCAACCCAGCAGCGTCAGTGCTGCCACCATAGCACTGCCACCCAGTGCTGATTCAGCGAACATCCCAAATGTCCTATGTTGGAATGTCCCTTCCCCAACACCCATCCTGCACAGCAGGCGCTGTATTACTGACAGCGTCTTCAAAGTGCCTTGCCCAACAAGGTCAGGCTACAATGACTCTCTTCATAACAGTTGACTTGGTTGACTCTCTCACATGGATAGAGCCTAACCCTAACTATACATACCCCCTTCTTCTACACCAACCATTAACACACGCAATTCACCATTTTCATGAGCTGTTATTTTGTCAACATTGAGAGCCATTGTAGCCGTTAACACCACTCCCCATTGTTATATGCAGCACTTGGGAAACCTTGGAACAACCTTGGTCGGTACCATGACACCCCTATAGTGATATTCAACACCCCTTGAGGGTACATACTTGGTTCTCATACCTAGCTAACAGTTCAATATGCACCAGTAAAATTATTATTATCATCATTATTATTATTATTATCTCTTATACATTGTAATTGCTTATTTGCATTAGTAAGCAATGCAATTCATTCAAGACTAGAGCCAATCTGGTGAAAGAAGGACTAGAGAAGAGCACTGGTGGAATCACTGTGATAGTGAACCCTGAAAAGGTATGTTATTTTTTCAGTTTTTATTTGAAAAAATGAAGCGTTTTGTTTGATAGTTTTGTATCCGCACTAGAAATAAAATGTAACTTTGCTTTTAAGCAAAAGGGAAGGGACACTAATAATGTACGAAGGCTACTGCCATTGACATTTTGGATGAGACTGGCTTTGAAAAGTTTCCTGATTCTAAATTGAGTTAGATAACGCACTGTTTTTCTGTGTATATATTGTTTAGGACCATTCTAAGACTTCAGAACAACGCAAATGATTTTTGAGTTTCATATGATATATTATTTGATTATTCTTTGTTGTCCAACTGTTATTGATGTCAACAGATTGACTGATACGACTTTGACCTTTTTTTCTTAATGAACAGCCAAGGAGAGGTTGCTTTGAAATACGGCAACAAGGGGGCAAGAAGTTCATTAGCCTCTTGGTAACTCCTGCCCTAGTGTTATCAAACATGAATAATTGGAAATTGTCGTCCTAATTTGTTAATTATCAATCAGTGTTCCATTTGTGCATGAGCTATATTAGGAATTTGTTTTTAACCATTAGCCTCCGACATCATTTATTAGGATATCACTCTGTTTTATTAAAGATATCTTTCTTACATAAAACTGATTTTTTTTTTTATTAAAAAAAAAGCCTCCAATCCCCCTTCTCTTTCTTTTCCCCTTCTTGTCTTTTATCTTATTTCCCCCTTCCCCAATTTTTTATTTTTATTTTTGTATTTATTTATGTATTTATTTTATTTTTTTTTTTATTTTTATCTTATCTTATTTTATTATTTTATTTTATTTTTTAATCTCCTCTTATTTATCATTGAGTTCGTCTACCACTGACTTCAATTAACTTGGGGTTAAAAGTGCTGTTGATGTTGATGTTGATGTTGATGTTGATGTTGATGTTGTAAAAAAAAGCCTCCAATTTCTTTTTATCTGTCCTCTTAAACAAATCATATTTGGTTTGCAAACTTTATTTTTTTATTAGGACATGAAGCGTCCGTTTAAACCAATGAAGAATCTAGACATGGACAAGGTCATCTCGGATATCATAGACGAGATATCAAGCACTAGTTGACTTTAGTTGTTCGCAAGTGTTTTTTTTGGCATCACTTGAAGTGAAGCTAGATAAATTGTTGTAATGGTAGAAATCCTACAATGAAACCTGTTTATAATATATTAACCTGTTGTATTTGTGGTTAGTTTGAGATGACATGATTTGAGAGTTGAGACAGTCATTTTGGATATGTTAACTGTCTCGGATGAGAACTAATACATTTGGTTTTGTATTCAATCAAATTCCAAGATATTTGTCATCAGTTTATGTATCAAGAATGATAATGTTTGTATGAATTTTTTGTTGCTGTTTTTATGTTATCTATTGGATAATCAGGTGGTTTATTACAGCACAAATTTTCTTGATGAAACACTATGTTCCTGTCATTATTTTCAATTTTTATTGGTACTTTGTATATCGTCGTTGTTTGGATTCTCATGTTTGTAATCCCAAAATCATAAGAATGTTGTATGTTTATTCAAGAATTATTTTTATTATTTGTGGTCAGGTTCAGGTAATCATGAATCCTTACATTGTCATTTTAGATTCGCTAGATTACGATTATCATTTTATTGAGTTTAATATAAATATTTAGAATATCTTATGTTTTTTTCATAATTGATTGAAATTATAAGTTTAACTTCATTTTTTGGTTAAATTATTGAATATTAAAATAATATATATTACATAAATTAAAAATTTTATTTAATATCAAAACATATTCTAACGTGTTGAAATGTTTGTCATGTCGTATCTTACGTCGATGTCGGTGCAATATAGTGGTTAGGAATTATATATATGTTGGGTACGGATGTTCAAGCCAATAACTTGGGAATAGAGCCCAAGACCAATTCTTATCAGAGCACCCAAAGGATACCACCCTTCAATGATTGAACTTCGACGCGAGGTGGAATTATTGGCTTTCAAGTTTTCTCGTAACTTTAGCGACAATTTTCGCTATATACATTTAAATTATTATTTAATTAAATGAACTTATATTAAATGAAAATTTTAATTAATTATATTTTTATTTCTATATTCATATTAAATTATTTTTTTTTTTTGAAATTATAATAAACCACAATTAATAGAGAACGTGAGTAGAAATCTTGAATTGTCTAAATATAGCACAAGCTATTCAGGGATATATGATCTATCGAATGCCCTTAATGCTTCATTGAGATAAGATTAGAGCAACAACTGTACCAGAAACTGTTGGTGAAATGTGCGACATACAAGAATGAACGCAAACATAGCAAAACCCTAATTTTGAGAAACCACATATTCATCACGTATGACCACCAATAGCGATCACCCTAAAAATATACACGTTAACTATTATCCCTTGTTTCATTATGCAAATTATGCTTAACCATCCACAATGTTCTTCAAATAGTTAGGTAAGAGAGAGGTTCACAGTTCATTTACCAAATCTGTTATTGAACACAAACCTCAATTCCACATAGCTCGTAATGTATATAAACCCCCCGATTATCTCATTTTATTAAGGCATTGTTTCGGACACAAATCCGAAAGATAAAAAAGAAAGAAGTAAAATTAAACTTGCAAGAAAAGAAACAAAAGATGGGTTCCAAAAGCTCTTCCCTCCTCTATTTGGCTCTTTTGCTTGCATTCTCTTCTGCCATTCATGCCTTCGACATCACAAAACTGCTAGGCCAATACCCAGAGTATTCCACCTTCAACAAATACCTCACCGAAACCAAGCTAGCAGATGACATCAACAAACGCAACACCATCACCGTCCTCGTCGTCGACAACGCCGGCCTCTCCTCCATCTCCGGCAAGTCCTCACAAGCCATCAAGGCCATCATCAGCACTAATGTTGTCCTTGACTATTTTGATGAGAAGAAGCTGATGGAAGCTCTAGGTAGCAACGAACAACTGACCACCCTTTACCAAGCTTCAGGCCTCGCCACTAACCAGCAAGGCTTCCTTAAGGTTGCACAAGTTGGCGAGGGCAATCTCGCTTTCGGCTCTGCCGCAAGCGGTGCCCCTGCCGACGCTGAGCTCGTGAAAACCGTCACCAGTGAACCTTTCAACATCTCCATTCTCCAAGTCACCAAACCCATCATTGCCCCTGGCGTTGATAGTTCACAATCTCCATCAGCACCATCTGGTTCACAGACCCCACAAGGAGCAAAGGCTCCATCAACATCCGCAAACACATCCACACCAACACAGGCTGCAAAGGCCCCAGCAGCATCACAGGCTGCAAAGGCCCCAACAGCATCACAAGCTGCCAAGGCCCCTGCCTCATCACAAAGTGGAAAGGCACCAGCTTCACCAGCACAAGGTACCTCAGCCCCAGTGCCATCATCATCTGAGGCCAAGGCACCAGCTTCGGCACAGAGTGCAAAGTCCCCTGTGCCAGCAAAGAGTGCCGAGGCACCAACTCCTTCGGAGACCACCCCAGCGTCTTCACCTAGTGAAAGCGTTGTGGCCGATTCTCCGACTGAAGCTGCCGAAGCCCCAGAAACCACAGTACCAGGCCCAACCGTGTCTGAGGCTCCTGCCTTGGCTCCAGGCCCGGTAGGTGATGAGGCTGCTGCAGATACTCCAGCTTCTGGAAGCTCTTCATTCACTAAGATGGGTTTGGTTGGAGCAGTGATGGGCTTCGCTTCCCTCTTGTTCGTTTTGTAAGATGATTCTCAAAGCAAAACAAAAAAAAACGAAAAGTAACATATATATACGTTTTAAATACACCTGTATAAGAAGAATAAGAAGGGGAAGATGACTCGTTCGAAGAAATTAAGATACTGAACTTGCAATATTCAGAAGCAAAAAATAAAATAAAAAATTGATATTTTCATGTTCGGATTGAGGATGCTTCAACCATTTTATTTTTCTTTTTATGTAATTTTTTGTCCTATTGTAATGGATTTACACAATAAATTTGATCCTCTCTCTTCTCTACCTTCTCTGTTAGATGCAAAGTTTGTTTTTATTTTGTCAATTTAATTTCTTAATAAACCATAATATGTCTTTCAATTTCATCACTTTGTTTGAAACTAGGAACTTACAAATTCGTACGGGCAATGACAATGCCATAGCAGGAACTTACCGCATCCATATATATTTTTAGTAGTAAATCTTAATCACGTAAGAGCCTAGCAATTCTAAGCTTCTGAATGCTGTAAGAAAGAAAGGGTAAGGGAAACTGATACAAACCTTTATTTGAAAGGTTTTTGTTATATGTATTTCATAAACATAGATGTGTTAATCTCTTTGATCTCCTTCAATATTTGTTGCTTATGTTGCTGGCCCAATTGAAAGGATGAGGCCTACTTTGCAACACAAGTAAAACGATGTCGTTTTACCTTGTGATGGCAAGTGAGACACTTAACCTCAGCTGAGCCCTCAGTGACCATAGTGTGTGATTTTTCTGACTCGGTTTCCATCCCAAGAAGGAACTCTCTCGAACACACTGTTCGCTAGGGTTTGTGAGTGCTTTCATTCTGAGAATAATGAGTGATACACTGAGATTTGATCTATGGTGATTTGGAGAAACTTGTTCATCTCAACAAGACGGTTCTATTGATCGGTGTATTTTTCTGATCGACGGTCGAAAGGTGGAAGCTCAACCTTGTGAGGAAGATCTGTGAAGCTGATGTTGATCAGCTTGGAGATCGTGTGAAAGGAACTACGATTCCTTTGCTGGCTCAAAGATTGGGAAGTCCTCTTTAACCTTTTGATTCTGATTTATAATCTTGATGTGGTTTTTCAAGATTGTATTTCTTGTTGATTTGTTTCTGTGTTTAGTTTCTTCATATGCTTTAATTTTGTACATTTGAAATTGTATACTGTAAACTCTGCTTTTGAACTTTATTTGAATACAGAGTAAATCTCAGAGAGCGTTTAACCCTCCTTAGGCCCCAGGACGTAGGAAACTCACTAACACTGAGTTTCTGAACCTGTAAAATACTGGTGTCTCCTTTCTTTATGCTCTCTTTATTCTTTCTTGCTATGTTTCTTGCGTTACTGTTTGTGAAACGAATTTCCCAAATTACAACAAGTGGTATCAGGAGCTTAGGTTCCATTTCTCTTTCTGTTATTTTCTTTGGTCTGTCATATCTTTCCCCCCCCTCTACCATTCGGTTTGCTTGCTCGGCTGTGGAGGTTCGGCAAGATGGGCATCACTAAGCTGGAGGTGGAGAAATTTGATGGGAGAGGTGATTTTAATATGTGGAAAATTAAGATGAAGGCTGTGTTGGTTCAGCAAAAATGTGAGGATGCAATAGGACCTGCAAAGGACCTACCTGAAAACTTGACACCAAAGGAAAGGAAGGACCTGCTATCTTTAGCTCATAGTCTCATAGTTGTCAATATCTCTGATAGTGTACTGCGTAGGGTTAGCAAGATCACTGACCCTCATGAGCTCTGGCTAAAGTTAGAGAGTCTGTATCAAACCAAGTCAGCCCCCAACAAAATGTTCTTGAAGGAAAGATTTTTCTCCTTCAAGATGGATCCTAGTAAGTGTCTAGAGGATAACCTTGATGAGTTTAATAGGTTAACTCTACAGCTGGAGAATGCAGGGGCTGTTGTCTCTGAAGAGGATCAAATCCTGATCCTCTTGAATTCTCTTCCTGACCCTTATAGAGGGGTTAAGGATGCTATAAAATATAGTAAGGGGGATATGACCATTGATGAGATTACTGAGGCCTTGAGGGCTAGAGAAGTTGAGATGATTTCTCACAAAAAGCCTACTGCTGAAGGCCTCTATGTTAAAGGAAAGGGGAATAAAAGGGGGAAGTCAAACAGTAAGAAGAAGGGGAACAACTATTTTGTTCCCTAAGGTAATCAAAGTGTCCAGGGAAACCAAGATAAGAGTAAAAGCCAATCACAAGGCAAGCTTGTGTGCTGGCCTTGTCATAAAGAGGGCCACCTGAAAAGGAATTGCCCTGAAAACCCAAGGAGTGTCCCCAAACAGCAAGGTAAAACTGAGTATGCAAATGTACTCATTGACTTTAACAGTGTTGAAGCACTGGTTTTGTCTGATAAAACCTTTGAAGCTGAATGGTGATGGATTCTGGGTGCACATACCATATGACATCTAGAAAAGAGTGGCTTAGTGGGCTGGAGTCTCAAAGGGGTGACAAAGTCTTAATGGGGAATGACCAAGTGTGTGAAATAAAGGGTGTGGGGTCTGTCATGTACAAGATGAGTGATGGGAGCTGTAAAATTCTAAAATAAGTTAGATTTGTTCCTGCATTAAGGAGAAACTTGATCTCCTTAGGGATGCTTGACTGTAGTGGTCTTGAGTTTAGAAGTAAGCAAGGACTGCTTGATATTGTCAAGGGATCACAAGTCCTCATGAGAGGAAAACTTGTGAATGGCCTCTATATATTAGAAGGCCAAGCTGTCACACAAGAAGCCTGTGTGGCAGCTGCAAAAGCTGATGAATCCATTCTCTGGCATAGGAGACTTGGACACATCAGCAACCAGGGGCTGTCTGAGCTGTATAAGCAAGGTATTATTAGCTCAAAAGGGGTAACTTGTGTGGAGTTTTGTGAAAACTGTATTTTGGGAAAGACTCACAAGCTCCCTTTTGCTGCAGCTAGCAATACCTCTAAGGCAGTGCTTGGATATGTCCATTCAGACCTGTGGGGATCTCCTAATATCCCCAGTTCTTTATCTGGATGTCACTATTTCATTTCAATAGTTGACTCATATTCCAGAAGGGTCTGGACCTACTTCCTAAAACATAAGGATCAAGCTTTTGTTAGTTTTAAGGATTGGAAAATCCTGGTTGAGAATAAAACTGGAAAAAGGGTTAAAGTTCTTAGGACTGATAATGGCTTAGAGTTTTGTAACAATCAGTTTGCTGATTTTTGCAAAGAGCATGGGATCCAAAGGCATAGGACCTGTGCTGAGACACCCCAGCAAAATGGGGTGGCTGAGAGGATGAATAGGACAATTTTGAATAAGGTGAGGTGCATGCTTGCTGAATCTGGTCTTGGCAAGGTTTTTTGGGCAGAGGCTGTTGCTACAGCCACCTATGTTATAAATAGGTGCCCTTCTTCCACCATAGACTTTAAGACCCCAATGGAACTTTGGTCTAATAAGCCACCAAATCTAAATCACCTGAAGCCTTTTGGATGTCTTGCCTATATGCACATTAGGCAAGATAAACTGAGTCGTAGAGCCTTAAAGTCTGTCTTTATAGGGTATCCCCTTGGTGTAAAAGGTTACAAGCTCTGGCTTGTAGCTGAAAGGAAGTGTGTGGTCAGTAGGGATGTCATTTTCAAAGAAAATATTTTTTATAAGGACATAACAAGTGAGTCCAGTTCTTCCCAACCATCTGAAACCTTGCAGTTTCAGGTGGAGCTAGCTGACATACCTGTGCAGCATGCTGATTGGGAAGAATTGATGGAACAACTTGCTGTTCCTGGTCAGCCAGAGCTGGAAACTGGTCCCCTTGATGAAGGTGGACAGGTTGAAGAGGGAAATGGTGGTCTTGATGACTACTTGCTGTCATGAGACAGAGTTAGGAGGAATATTAGACCTCCAAGTAGGTTTGCACATGCTGATGTGGTTGCATATGCCTTACAAGTTGGGGATGTGCTTGAATTAGATGAACCTGCTACTTTTAAAGAGGCTATGAGGCTGGAATCCAAGGATGGTTGGCTGAAAGCCATGGATGAGGAAATGGACTCTTTAAAGAGAAACCAGACCTGGGTTTTGGTGGAGAGACCAAAGAAAAATAGAGTAATTGGCTGTAAATGGATCTTTAAAAGAAAACCAGAAATACCAGGAGTGGAACCAGCTAGGTTCAAGGCTCGGGTAGTGGCTAAAGGCTACTCCCAGGTTGAAGGTATTGACTACAATGAGATTTTCTCACCTGTGGTCAAGCATGTATCAATAAGATTGATACTATCTGCTGTTGCTATCTATGATTTAGAGCTGGAGCAGCTTGATGTCAATACTGCCTTCCTCCATGGCAATATTGATGAGCAAATCTATATGGAACAGCCTGAAGGCTTTGTAAAGAGGGGGACAGAAAATATGGTGTGCCTGCTGAAGAGATCCTTATATGGTCTCAAACAGGCACCCAGACAATGGTATAAACGTTTTGATGATTTTGTTTTATCAAAAGGTTTTGTTAGAAGTAATTTTGATCACTGTGTCTATTTTAAAAATTTACATGATGATTGTTACATTTATCTGTTGATATATGTGGATGATATGTTGATTGCTTCTAGAAATTTAAGTGAAATAAATTCTGTTAAGAATATGCTGAAAAGGGAATTTGAAATGAAATTTCTTGGACCAGCCAAGAGGATTCTTGGCATGGAAATTACAAGGATAAGGGAAGATAGACATCTATCTTTATCCCAGTCTGAGTATGTTAAAAAGGTTCTAAGAATCTTTGAGATGCATCAGTCCAAGCCTGTTAGCACTCCATTAGGTGCTCATTTCAGGCTGAAAGCTGTTTCAGGAGAATTATCTCCTGAAGAGTCACAATATATGTCATCTGTTCCCTATTCTAATGCTGTTGGCTGTTTAATGTATGCTATGATTGGCACAAGGCCAGATATAGCATATGGAGTTAGCATAATAAGCAGGTTTATGAGTAAACCTTGCAAAGAGCACTCGCGTGCAGTTAAATGGTTACTTAGATACTTAAATGGATCTATTAATTA